AGAGCTTAGCAGTAGCTGAAGAGACTAGAACTTTATTCAACGACGAAGAGAAGATAAAATAATAATTAAGTACAATCTACAATAGAAATACACTGAATTTACTGATTCTTAATAAACAAGACATTTAAGCAACGTTTCAAAAACTGATCTTGGATACCAAGAAAGAAAGAAATAGAGACTCGTCTCTATCTACAGACTTCCTACTGCGAGAAAAACGTCCAGGAACTGCAGCTGACGTCTGTGATAAACGCTATGCTTACGGTTCACAATTAATTATGTTTCTACATGATACGCTTCCAGTACTAGAAAACAATAATTCTATATAGCACGCGATTACGCGAACGGAGGACGAATACTTTTCCTATTTGCTTCCGTGCCATTCAGAGCCCCGATTGCCGCCGCCCGGACGACAGCGAACGAACCGAGCCAGAAGTTTCTACGAGCTTTCGTGGGTGGTTTTCACGTATCGCTAGACGGGTATGTGCCAGGAACGATGACGCCAAGACGATAGTGTACGATAATAGAAAGGAGAAGAACAAGCCTGATAAGCGTTATCGTTAAAGTACGGACGACTTCTCGAACGTGTTATAACGACGCGTTCGACGCGTAGCATTCTAAAGTGCCTAAAAACTCGTCGCGTATCGCAAAATATACGCGAGGTGCAAGTACACATTTGTTTAATCGACTAAACTTTAAACCGAACGATTTAACGCTACTTATGTCTACCTATCGTAAGCCTGTTTTTTCAAGATGTACGTCGCGAGAAATGAAAAAAGAAGAAGAAGGAAAAAAAGAAAGAAAGAATGGAAAGAGAATAAAGGGAAACGAGACGAGCGAAAATGCTCGCGAATATAACTGATATCGTTATTCTGCGAAATCAAATCCTATGCACTCACTAATCCTTTCCCATCGTTCCGCCCGACGGAGAGTACAAAGGTCGAAGTTTAAACGAGACTCCAGTAAATTAATTTCACTCGGGCGCTGATTGTTATCGGGTTAGAAATTTTACGATAGAACTCGCAAGTCCATTTCTAGGGAGCTTAGAATCACATCTCGAATCGTGAGTACTTTCGCGATATTTATTTATATGATTTATAGGAATTCATGTCGACAGGGTTAAAAG